TGGATACGATAGTAAAACACGACGTACGGATAGGGTTAAGTGGTGGCACAGAGTTCCCCACGTCGTATGGATACGATAGTAAAACACGACGTACGGATAGGGTTAAGTGGTGGCACAGAGTTCCCCACGTCGTATGGATACGATAGTAAAACACGACGTACGGATAGGGTTAAGTGGTGGCTCAGAGTTCCCCTCGTCGAATGGATACGATAGTAAAACACGACGTAGGGATAGGGTTAAAGACAAAGGTGCTCCGTTCCTCTCTGGGAACGAGGGTAGAGTATCATGACTCTTATTTTCCTTTTTTTAAAATCCTCATCAATGATTTCCTTCCTGTTGTTGACTATGCAAGCCTGACTATAAATATTCATGATACTTATACGAAAATAATGAGCTTTGAAACAAAGCTCTTGACTCTTACAAAACTTTTATGATGAAAAATATTTTGAATACATTCCTTTAATTTTATACACATATATATATTTATATATATACATATGTATTATTATGATTCTTATGAATTGTACAGAAGAAGTTGTTCCAGATGGCTATCCAGCGTCCAGAACAAAAAATGGTTGTCTTAGGAAGGTGGACATCTTGGACAATGTCATTATAATATAATGTGACAGTGCCAATCAAACTCAGACATAAGTCGTAAATTCCCCAAATTGAGTTACTATTATTGTGCAAAACGCTATCATCTTTACCCTATAATTTTATTTTAAAAATTCAGTCCTACAATATTTGACGACGATATGATATGGAAATTTTTATTACCGCAAGGTGCGAGTGGGTGGTTGGTAGATGTTCTGATTGTGGTGTGGTTTGTTCCTTCTTTCCTATCCAACATCTATCATGCTTATCTCCTCCTTTTCTGTGTTTGTTACTTTCTAGTAACACCTTTTATCTTCAGCACTTAATTGACTTTATGGTGTTGTAAGTGCCGTAAGACTTTTACTAAAGCAAGATGGCCCAGTACAACCTACATCTGATTATGATTGGTGCTGACACATATCGAAAAAACACAAGGGAGGGAAGAAGGAAGTGGTCATTTTGTACAGGTGATTGTCTGGCACAGGTGGCAGTAAGAGCAGGTCGCACGGTTTTTCATGTATGTGGCTAGTTCCGTTTCAGGTAGCTGCTGCTTCTTTCTTCTCTCCTATCAAACATCTACCGTCCTTATCTCCCCTCCTTCTTTCCTATCAAACATCTACCGTCCTTATCTCCCCTCCTTCTCTCCTATCAAACATCTACCGTCCTTATCTCCCCTCCTTCTCTCCTACCAAACATCTACCGTCCTTATCTCCCCTCCTTCTTT